TTTTCAGTTCTCCCAGGTAGTTGTTTAATAATTACTGATTCTGATTGGTCAGAGGCTTCACACCTGACTGACAGGTAAAGGAAGGCTGGAAAACCAGCAGTGCTCAGACCTCGAGGACCGTGATTTGAATAACCCTGCTATACAGGTATGTTGCTTTGTTTGTGCTAGAAGTTTGGTTAATATGGTTGGCTAAAAGATGTTTTTAAATTACTTTTAGTGGGCATCTGAATGGGTTTAATGGCAATAGTGCTGGTGACTGTCTTGCAGCTTTTCATAGTTCAGGTATGTTTCTTTTAAATGTGGCGTTTCGCTGACTGGTGTGTTGTATATTGCCTAATTAGCTTTTAGTGGCGAATGCTGCCATTTGAGTGAGACCTCGAACTATGGGATTATCATAGCTGCCAGCAGGCCGGAGGTGACTTAGCTTCTCTTTAAGTTTTCAGTCGCCTCTTAGTATATTTAGTATTGATGTTGGTGTTGTGTATTTTCCAGGATAATTGTGGTCCCCGTAAAGTGCTTTTGGAGTGGCCAGGCCTTAGCGCAGCTGTTTTTGCCTCTGTTGGTGTGGATTTATCTTCTGCTCCGGACACCTCTTCACTCGGAGATTCAGTCATTCATCTTGGAGAATTGCCGTGCTCTCCTACTGTATTAATTTTGTTGTTGGATCGGACTGTAGAGGCGTTCGAGACTGTAATTTAATTTGGTGTCTCGTTAAATTGCTTGTGAAAGCGATCTGTCTTGTAACGGTGCCGTGGTTATGTGTATTGTAACTTTCTTGGACTGACCTGCGGCTTTCTCTCTTATCAGGTACTGGGGGACGAATCGTGGGGAATCTGGCGTCCTGGTGGTGGGATTCCGCCCCGTGTATGGGTGGGATTGCCGTGTCTGTGTATTTGCACACTGGTGGTCGTGTTTTATTTTATTTTCGTAAGTAAATAAAGTTCCTCTCATAAGTACATGGTAACCTGGGTAATGTGTGTTGGGGCAGAACCTGGGGTCTGGTTTTAAGAAGGTGACTTGTAAGGGAGTGTGATTTACCACACTGCCATAGTCTTGTTCATTTGTGTACTGCTTTTAAAAATAAATATATATTTGTAGTGGAGGAACGTCTTTGCTCCTGCTTGTTAGGTGGGTCGAACCTCTGTGCCTCTAGCTGTAGGCTAGGAGGAGACTTACTGTATGAATATCCCTGGGTGAAAGCCGCAAGGTAGGGTAGTCGGCTATTTCAGTGGTTTATTCCACCTTTACGCTACATTTGTATGGATTTTACATGAAGTACTATTTTATCATCTGACATTGTTTAGTCAACAT